TGGCCTGGGCGGCGGGGGGGGCAGCGGGCAAGCCCTGGGCACTGCCGAAGTGCTCGACCTCCCGGCCCAGCGCTGGACCACACTCCCGCCGCTGCCCACACCACGGGCCGGTGCTGCCGCCCTCGCCCTGGGCAAGCAGATCCTGGTGGTAGGTGGCGTGGATGCGGCGCAGAGCCCCCTCGCCTCCGTCGAGGTCTACCACGTGGATGAGGGCAAGTGGGAGAAGAAGGCAGCGCTGGCTCAGCCCTCCATGGGCATCTCAGCCGTGCAGAGAGGTGAGGGCTGGGGCTGGGGCTTGCTGCGGGTACCCCTACCATCCAGAGAAGCAGGGATGCAGGGTTCGGGGATGCTCAGGTGGGATTTGAATCCTGCTGCTGCTTGAGATGCAGCACGAGGCTTTCACCCAGCAGCCAGACTTGCCGCTTCGCGGCAGGGTCATGCTCCTGCCCCTGCCCCTGCAGCCCTGTTGCAGCTCGGGGCTGGGTGATGCAGAGCCCATCCAGGCAGGGGAGCCTTCTCCAGCTGCCCTGGCTGGGAGCCGTGCCGGGGCGGCCAAACACCATGTTCCAGCCCAGCTCAGCGTGCTGTATGCCAAGCATGATGTGATTCCTTCCCAAACTTTGCTGAGCAGTCTCTGAGCCTTGGCACAGCCTGGCAGCCTGTGTGCTGGGGGCCAGGGTTGGTGCCGTATGTGGTACCCATGTCCGCTCCCTCACTGGGGATGCCGTGGCTCAGCCCCGGCTGCAGCAGGGTGGGCAGGGCAGAGGGGCCAGCAGGGCAGCGGTGGGAGCGGGCAGGGGTGCTGTCTTCACTGGGAGTGAGAGCAGGAACAGGATTTGGCAGCATGGCTGTGTTGCCATGGTGTCTCCAGGGAGATGGTACTGCTGAGAATAATTAGAGCCGATGGCCTTGTGCTCTTCTCTGCGCCTGATGGATGGGGCAGAGAGGGGGGCAAGGGGGTCCCGTCGGGGCCGGGGCGCTGCCAGCCTCAGGCCTGGCCACGTTCACTATCCCCCAGCCACCCCAGAGCAGCAGCTGGGAGCACCCATGCTGCCTGCCCTGGAGGGCACGGGAGAGCTCCTAGCCCCACAGTGCTGCCCGTGGCTGCTGCCCGTGACTGCTGCCCATGGCTGTCCTCACCTCATCGCTGCCTCTTTTGCAGACGGAGCTGTCTATGCGCTGGGGGGAATGGGTGCAGACACCTCTCCCCAGGCGCTGGTCCGTGTCTACGAGCCAGCAAAGGACCACTGGCAGCCCTTGCCCTCTATGCCCACCCCCTGCTATGGGGCCTCCACCTTCCTGCAGGGCAACAAGATCTTCGTCCTGGGTAGGTGCCTCTGGGGCGAGCTGAGCATCCCCCTACGCCCCTGCCCTCTCCACTGCCTCCCCGGGCCAGGTGGGTGACTTGGTGCACCCCAGGGTGGCTTCATGCTGCCCTGCTAGCCCAGCACTGCAGCTGATGGGCCCCATCCTGCTTGCTGAGCCTACCAATGGTGTTGGCTCGGAGCACTGGTGGCTGCAGTGTCTCTTCTATGCACAGGGGGACGGCAGGGCAAGCTGCCCGTCACTGCCTTCGAGGCCTTCGACCTGGAGACGAGGAGCTGGACGCGCTACCCCAGCGTGCCCAGCCGCCGCGCCTTCGCCGCCTGCGCCATGGCTGATGGCATTGTCTTCAGCCTGGGGGGGCTGCAGCAGCCAGGACCCCACAACTTCTATTCCCGTCCCCACTTTGTCAACACCGTGGAGATGTTCGATCCTGCGCAGGGTGAGCTCCACATCCCGGGGTGCGGTGGGAGCGTCCCCTGAGGGTCCAGGATGCCTCCCCTAGGTCTTGGTGAGGGGTGTCTGTACCCGAGGAACACTGTTCACCTGGGGTCTGAGCATCAGCCCCTTGCACCCTTGGCGGGTCCTGCCCTGAGTTCCTGGGGTGTCTCCTGGCCTCAGTGCACAGAGATGCCTGCCCCATGGAGAGGAGCCCCGGCAGGCGATGCTCACACCCTCCTGCCCCCAGGTGCGTGGAGCAAGCCAAGCCGCGCTGTCCGCATGAGGGAGAAGAGAGCTGACTTCGTGGCCGGCTGCCTGGGAGGAAGAGTGGTGGCCGTGGGTGGCCTTGGTAAGGGCAGCAGGGTGTCTCCTGGCCTCAGTGCACAGAGATGCCTGCCCCATGGAGAGGAGCCCCGGCAGGCGATGCTCACACCTTCTTGCCCCCAGGTGCGTGGAGCAAGCCAAGCCGCGCTGTCCGCATGAGGGAGAAGAGAGCTGACTTCGTGGCCGGCTGCCTGGGAGGAAGAGTGGTGGCCGTGGGTGGCCTTGGTAAGGGCAGCAGGGGGATGTGGTGGTGTTCCTGTCCCCATCCTTTGTGGCACATCAGTGACCTGTGTGGTGGCACGGAGGTGAGCTCTGCAAAACCGTGGTGGTACTGCAACACCCTCGGCAGCCACGTGGCCTTAGCTCTGCCTGCTGTATCCCTCCTGTGCCCCCTGAGTGCTGGGGGGACTCTACTTCCCTGCCCGGCCAGGCTTTCTTGGCTCAGTGTGCAGCCTGCCAGGCTCACACAGCCCACGCCGGCTCAGCCCCACCATGCAGGGCTGCAGCGCCGCATGCCTCTCCTGAGAGAGCTGGGGAAAGGTTAGTGCTGCCACTCAGCAGCAGGGATGCAGCGGGGAGGGCTTCCCGGGGAGCCCAGCGCTGGCCGCAGCACCCCCAGCCCTGCAGCGAGGGCTGCCAGACCCCGCTGAGCTCACCCGGGGCGATGCCACAGGGCAGGAGGAGGTGCTGGGGAAGGCGAGCTGTGCTGGCTGAATCCCTGTGGCATGGCATTGTTTCTGAGCCCTTCCAGGGCTGGAGCTACCCTCCCTTATTCCCCGGTGATGGCTGCAGGGTGCTGGTGCGGGGGCAGAGCCCGCAGTGGGGCATTGGTGCCGGCAGCCTTCCCCTGGGGATGCCGCTAATCCTCTTGTGCCCCTGCTAATTGCCTCTGGGATTGCAGAGCCCCCTTAGCTCAGGACTAGGGGACCAGCCATTGCTGGGGGCTATGGCTGGGGCATCAAAGGCATGTGAAGAGGGAAAGGCAGAGCCTGGCATGCAGGGCCGCTGCTCCTGCTCCAGCTGCCCGGCACCCAGCCTGCTCTTCGTCATCGGAGGGGTGGCCCAGGGCCCCAGCAGCGCCGTCGAGGCTCTGTGTCTGCGTGAGGTGCCCTGAGCAGGGCCCTGGGGACCAGCACCGGCTGAGCACCAAGTGCCTGAAGACGAGGACAGGGTGTGTGAGCACCCGTGTGTGTGGGTGACCCAGCTCCGGGGAGCTGCCATCCCATGATGCCGGGTGCCGGAGCAGCTGCGGTTTCTCACCCCATGCTTCGGAAACCCCTCTCGGCTTCTGCACCGCTGCGGCAGCGGAGCCCAGGGCAAAATCCTGCCTGGTGGGAGGCCCGCGGCCGGTGGTGCGGAGGGAGCAGCGGCAGCAGGACTGTTGCTGGCCACACGGCCCCATCCGTGCCACGGCGTGTCCGTGCCGTGTGTGTAGCAGTGAGTGCTGTGTCGTCGTAGACCCAGTCGATGTCTCATGTAGCACAGAGGTGCCCTGTAGCTCAGTGCCTAGGAGGTGATGTAGCACCTCAAATAAATGAAACACGTGGAGTTTTACCCTGCTGGAGTCATGTCATCCCTTGTTATCCTGCTCCAGGCAGGCATGTGCTGCAGCCTGTCGGGAAAAACCCTTCCCAAGGGAGAGTCTGGCCAGCCCTTCTCCAGTGGGGGCCCGTGCCGTGGGGCCCCGTGCCATGGGGCAGGGATGGCTCTTGCTCCTTTCCCCACTGCCAGGGAGAGCAGAGCAATGACATTTGGGGATCCAACCCTCCTTTTGCAGAGGGAGAGCCGAGCGGTGGCTGCCCTGCCTCGGCACAGCCTTGCTCCTGGTCGGCCTCTCCTGTGGGCAAAGAGGGGGTGAAAGCAGCAGCAGGAGAGGGGCTTTGTCGGAGAAAGCCAGGGTGCGAGAGCAGGCAGGGAATGGCAAGGGCTGCAGGGATGGTGAGAAATAAGGTGAGATGCCTAATGATGCCGGGGCTCCTGGGCCCCATCCAGCAGCACAGCCCTGCCCAAAGGATGGAGCATGGTCTGGTGCCTGGGAGAGATGGATCTGGCTGCGTCCAGCTCTACTGGGCAGGAACACCACTTCTTCCCCTTACCGGTGCTGGGAAGGGAAGGTAAGCTCCATACCAGTGGTGTCTGTAGGTGACATTTGGAGGTGCACAGCAAGACTGGTGTGGGGGGGTGACCCCCCCAGTTGCCCGGTGCCATGGGCTCGCCTGAGCCTTGTTGGTCCAGGCTCTCTGTAGAGTCATGTGCCCCAAAGCAGAGAGCGGCAGTTGCAGACACAGGTGAGGGATTTGATCTTTCACTGACGCGACATTAGAAAGATCTCACAGGTCTGGGTAAATATCAAGCGCGGATGCCTGACCTTTCGGAGAAGACGGCCGGCGCAATCCTCAGATGGGTAGCAGGGCCAGAGAGATGGGAGGCCAAATCCCAGCAGAGCGAGGCAGCACTCGGCACACTGCTGGGGCAGGCTGTGCCGTCTGCCAGGGGCATCGCAGCCTGGGCAAAGTTGGAAATGATTCAGAAAAGAGCATTCACAAGACAGTTTTGATGTTGTTGCCCCATTGCCTCTGCTGCCTGCACAGCACGGCGACTGCGGGGTCCATCCTGATGAGCCATGTGGCCGTTTGCCTGCGTTTTGGGAAGAACATCCTGGGATACCTGGGCTGGCAGTACCTCAGCTGAAGTCATCCCTGCATCCGCCTCTGGAGTTGCCATAGAAACCACCTCTGTGCCAGAGCCAGCATCAACAGGGAGCCCCGAATTAGTGATTGAGCCATACCTTGGAAGCCGGGGGGATGCGCCTGCAGCCGGAGAAGGTCAGCAGCTTGCGCTGTGCAGGGGGGGTGGGGCTGGACAGAGGACCCCCTCCTCTCAGCACAGTGGGGCTCCATCCTTCTCCTATGAATACTGCAGCAGCACCCCATTTCACAGTGCTTCCTGACCAGTGCTCAGCCCTGGTGGGAATTTCCTACCTGGGGTCTTGGGAGGTGACAGACCCCTCGGTGCCGCCGTGGGCTGGGGTACCTCCCCCCAGCCTGCCAGCCCTTTCCAGACGCCACCAAAGTACACAATAACTTCACTTTCACCAAAACTTTAGTCACAGGGGACCCTAAATCATGGAGCTGCATTGGAAACACAGACCTGATTAATAAGGTTTTCCCACAGGAGCATAGCATGGACGGGATAAATCAGACGCTGAGTCACCAGCAAATTGACATCCCTGAGTGCCAACTTTGCAGCTTTCCCTTCTGCTGACGGGGCACCCAGCACTGCTTTTACCAAATTCAAGGCAAGAGCTGGGAGATGCTGGAGGGGGAAGCTGCAGCTTGGGAGCCTCTCGCTGTTGCATGACCCCACTGTCGTGGTGTTTCTGGCAGCACCGGTGCCCAGCCCGACGTGGCCAGTGGTCCCTGTCCCACAAGGGGTTTGCCCCTTTCTTGGCAGCACCTTGCCTCATGCATGCAATCGCCTGGCACATGGACCCACCGCAGCACCATTTTGCTCGGCTGCTCCACCCAAGTTGAACAGAAATCCATGACCTCTCCTAAAGGCGTGGATTTCTCATTCTTTTCTATCTCTGCTCTTGGGCACAGGATCAGGATCCCATCTGAATGAGGGGAGGAGAGCAGCCAGGACGATGACCAAGGACACCTTGGGGTGGATGGAGAGATCTTCAGGCAAAGGAAGGATGGTCCTGACCACCCTTGGAGATTGGCACATTATTAACTGAAGAGCTCCCGTGAGTCTCTAACGAAATGCACTGCAAAGAGAAAAAGTTGAGGGACATACTAAATATATTGCTGTCTATCTCCTGGCAGCTTCTGCTAATTTTTACTAAATTAAAGGCTTCAAGTATTTGGCCACAATCCCTAATGCTAGAAGCACAGTCTGTTACTTCAGATATAAGGAGAGCTACGAGCCAGCGCCTGGCAACGTGGCTAATCTCCCTGGAGCGTGTTATGGATGGGGGAGACTAGAACTGGAGGTAGCTGTCAGACCTATAATTAAAAAAATGTGTTTCCTTATAGAAATTTCTTTCCGTTGTCAGGAGAGATGGAAATACAAAAATCTCATTTATCATATTCCACAAACTCGATAGACGGTCAAACCAGAAAGCTCCAGCCACACCAGAAATATGAATAGCTCTGTATAATAATCTAAAATAACGTGCCGAGCCTTATCGCTGGTGCGCAAAGCACCGGCAAATCCTTTCCTAAGGGCAGTGGAAGTGCTGTAAATGGGTACAGAGATCTACAGTCTCTTCTGAAGGGATTTCTGTCCCAACTTTCCAATTACTAGCAATAAAATGATGGAAAATCACCATTTGTGATTCAGGGCCATATAGGACCTGGATGCACAACAAGGCTCTTGGCAGCAGTGCCGTGCACTGGGCTTTACAACGGAGTTGTAGGCAGTTCATGAGCAGAGCAAGGCTTTTATTTACTCAACAAGCACAATAAACATTAATGTTCCCGTCAGTACAGTTCTCTGGAGGAAGGTTTGCCTTCCAGCCCACAGCTGCCTTGGACAGCCAGGCCATTATCCCATCCCTGAAGCAGGAACACGATCCAGGCTGTGATTCCCCGCTCCAGTCCTAGAAAATCAACCCGTTAGAGGCTCATCGTGCAGCTGAGAGTTAACAAGCCGCCGCGATAAATCCAAGCCATTTATACCAGCGCTAGCACTGTAGTGACAAGCAACAACAATTCAGCAAAGTCACTCCAAGAAGTTTTTTATGGGTAAAAGTCCAGATTTTTTTTTTTTTTCCAAGTGAAAGCTTTATTTCTGTGGGATTTGAATAGGAAACAGGATATATACATTAAGAAAGCCATTATTTTGACACCTCTGAGCACCAGGCTGTCTTCAATGCTAAAGCCAAAAGAGCATAAAGGGCAATGTGAGTAGTTCCCCTAATCTATCCGTGAATTTATACCAACCCTATTTATACAGTGCTTTAGTGCTTACGGAGTATCTTGGGAACCAGAAACCAAACATTTTAACCAGTATTGAAATTGTTTTGAATTAAAGGAGAAAAAAATAGGCAAGTAAGCGTGCCCGCTTTCCATTCCTGAGGATGAAGGATACAGAAGCACAAGGAAAGAAATCCGGTAAAACCATATTTGAGAATCTTTCTCCAGGGAGTGTTTAGTTGACGGGTTATTTTTGTCATACTTCTAATGGGAGAAATTAAATCATTCTGCATTTCTGTAAGAGGTATTTATATGAGACACCACACAGCATCTGGGTGCTGTGGCCACTGCGCTCCCGTGGGAGCAGCCCTTGGCATGCCAGGTGCCAAGCCTCCTCTTCCTTGCCCCATGACGGCCCCCGTGTGCCCCGGGGTCTGCTCCTTGGCCGAGGGATGGGCAGGCAGGGCCTGGCCAGGCCCCTGCCATGGGTGGCCTGGGGAAGAGCCCAGAGCTGGGGCTGATCCTGGGGGCTGCAGCCTTGGGGTGAGATCCAGGGACCCCCCGGCCCCAGGGTGAGATCCAGGAACCCCCAGCCCATGAGGCCAGGACCCGCAGGCCCCGCAGGGAGCCACCAGGCCCAGCCTGGGGTGGCCATGTTGGCCGGGCCTGCCCTGGGCCTGCAGGGCCGTGCCCCCCACCGGGCTCTCCCCACAGCGAAGGGGCACAGGGGGATGCTGCCCCCTGAGCAGGGCTTATCTGTCCTCTCCATTTTCCTCCTCCCTGCAGGGAGCGTGGCGGCATGGCCGCCACAGGGTAGGAGAGACCATGAGTGCTGGGGCCATGCTGAGGGCCAGGTGCTCCTGGCGAGGGCGTCAGGTGTGAGAAGAACATGAATTTTAACATCTGGAATATCAAGGAGATGTTGAGCACGCCGACAGCCACCGGGTGAGCTTGGGCTGCGGGGTGGGGAGGAAAGATGGTGAGGAAATTGTCTATAAAATCAAACACTTCGGGTGTTTGATAGTGATGGGGTGAAACACATCTAGAATTGCTCAATTCCGGTCTGGTTAATGATGGTTAATGAGCCTACTCCATGATCTCGTTGGTGCCTGCGTTGCTCCCAGCCTGCCAGGCATGGCGATAGATCCACCATTGCCAGGAATTTAAAAACCAGCATCAGCTGAAAGCTGTTCTCTGGTTTATTTGGGGAAGTTCTGTGGCCTATCTACGTCTAATTAGGTAAGTTAAATGTTCCCTCTCACCTTGTGCAGAGAGGAGATAAAATGACTCGTGATTTGCGATATTGTTACACATTATGTAACTCTAAAATTATTCCATACACTGCATTTATACGCATGGCTTAATTTTTTCCCAGCAGAAGTCAAAGAGCAGCTAGAATCTCCCCACATCTACAATAGATAGTGAAACAGCAAATGTTATTTGGATGTAAACATCTGGAGAGCCGATATGTAAGACAGGCTGCATTTTTTACAGCAGAGCATCACCTTTTGCATCACATGGCTAAAAAACAGAGCAAGATTTACCCCTTGTTTGACGCTGGAGAAGCTAATTGATGAATTTGGTCCTCTGAGTTAGTTAAATAACCCACTTACGTAACTAACTGTTGTTCAAATTCACAGTTTTAGTCATACTGCCTCTTTGGTCGGATGTTACTACAATGACGGATGATAATGAAAACATAATAGTAGTTTCCTTGCCCATTATAAAAATACTTGTCATATATATATGAATTAATTGAATTTTGCACAGATGCTGGGGTCAAAGGGGAGCCAATTCAGGGAAAAAGATGTTTATATCTGTCATGGTCTTGTCTTCATAAATGTGCATTGCATAATTCTATTGTCTTCTTGGTACCTGCAGATTTATCTTTTGTTTTTAAATTTTGTTTTCCAGAAGTTACTTCTAAGTAGTTTTAAAATCTGCTACTTTCATTCTGGTCAGAGACCGAGCTGGGGAAATTTAGAGAATATATATAAAATATATGTAATTTTTTTTTATATGCATATGAATCATTCTGTGGAATCGTGCGATAAGAGAGGAACTAAGTGGAAGAAGTACAGGTGCCTGTTTGGAAAAGGATCATTTGAATTCCTTCCTCTTCCAAAGCATTCTGTCAGCTACAAAGTCTTCATTTTTAACTGATTTATTAATGCAGGAAGAAAATACAGACAAGTTTTTAACACCCACTCCTCAGCATTCCACATTTTTTGCAAGTGAGTTCAAAAGGGTCAAATAGGGCATAAAATGTTGCTGAAAAATGCAGCTGCATCTTGGGGGGAGTTAAGAAGGGGGGAAAGGTTCTCAGGAGGTGAATTAACTTCTTCTAAAGGAAAAAAAAAAGTTACTGATAGGAGCACGTGCATGTGTGTGTGTGTGTATTTGAAATAGGGGGAAAGGTGTTGATTACTTTTTCCTGTCTCACTTCTGTTACTAGAAACCTTTCTCACCACAGCAGGGTATGCTGCACAATCCCCAGAATACTGTCTTTCAGGGAGCTTTAAAAATGAAATGTAAAATCAGCATATAATCTAGGCAGGGTATGAATCATGCTGTGAGTTCTTTGCAAGTTTGAGTCAGGGTGTTACTTCTGAGAGCAGCTGCCACCAGGTCCCTAAGAAATGCAGAGCTCCAGTGACATGATACCCGCATGGTAGCGGTTCTGCAGAAGCCCAAGATTGCTCTGGGTTTTATTTGTTATCTGTCTTCCAGACATACATGTGCTTTTCTGTAACAGCTAGCTGCCTGAGAAATGAGCCGGGGGAACCAAAGTCCCTGTTTTACCTGTTTTTATGTATGAATATTGACATAATAGAGGTTCTAGAAACACAGGAGAAAGCAGATTGTTTGGACACAAATATCAGGGTGCCAGTTATTTAAGAAGGTGGGAGGGGGTCACGTGGATAGAATGACAGCTATACAGTGGAGAAGGCTTAGACTCAAGTGTATCGACAAATGGCACAATTTTTGTGGATTGAAATGCCAGACCTAATTAGGGAAAGTGCCATGTTAGAGCATTGCTGCTGCCTGCCCAGCCCCAAGGGCAGGCAAAGAAAGAGCGCAGAGGATGTGAGAACAGCAGCCACAAAAGCAGCAATGCTTCAATCAGCCTTCTATCAACTGGATAAGCGTCACTGGGGCGTGATGCTGAAAGTACATTTTCAGACACCATAAGCACCTGCCTCTGCCAGGGAACTCCTGGGGGAAGAGACGGGTCTTGCCTTGGCCCCGAGCTGAGCACGAGATCCACGGTCAGGGTATTTACTCTTGTAGTGTTGCCCTTAGAGTGACAGTAGTGAACTGGAGTCAACATCTCTGCAGGAGCAACAGAAGCCAAAAAATCCACTACTGCTTAATTTCGAAAAAGACATTGGCGTAGTAATAAGGAAGCTCATTAAAAAGGAATTAAACTGGACAGCCAAAAGGGTTAAATGCTTGCCTGAGGCATAGAGATTATTTAGACCTCATGTTGAAGCTCAGAACAAATGCATACCAGCTATCAGTTCAGATGTGAGAAGGACCAGCACTGGACTGGCACGGTAAAGACAACTGCTGAAAATCAAAAGGCATCCTTCAAGAAATGGAAGACAATAAAACCCAGACAATTAGAAACCAATATATTATGATTTTGAATTGAAGTTACCAGAATTTTCTTGTTCCACGAGAAAAGCAGTAACTTGCTAAAGGCATAAAAGCTATTAATATACCTAGTGCCAAAGACATCAGAAACGGAAAGCCTGCCAGAGAGCGTGTAAGGCCAATATATGATGCAAATATTAAAGGAGCATTCAAAAGGGAGGCTGTAAGTTAAGGCCTGCTTGAGCCACTACTCTCTATGGCTTATTTCTGCTGTTGAGAAAAAAATTTCCAAATTTAACAACCTCACTCAATCCATTATCCCATGAAATTCCATCCCACATAGCAGGGTCACTTATTTTGAAATCACTTTAAGGTCTCAGAATAAGCAGAAAATGAAGGAGACTGCCAGAACAAAGATCAAGAGAGCAGCCACAAAAATCCCGAGCCTTGGAGGAATGAGAAACTGGGGCTGTAAGTGCAGGCTGGAGGATGGCTTCAGACTGGGGGGCAAAACGCCCTGTCTCCAGATGTCTAATTCTTAATGTAGTCAGGGATACATTTTGTGTAAGTAAACAGGGCTGCTGCACGGAAATCTCTTAGCACCCCTTCCCAATCTTCTCCTAAGGAAAGGGCCCCGTGAGCCCCTGCAACCGGCTCAGGACAAAGGGCTAACACGGTTTCCAATGTGAGGAAGTTCTGGGCCATATTGAATCACAGCCAAATGAATAATGGAGTGGCTCACAGAAAGTAAAAACAACCTTGAGGAATTAAAACAGGACCAGAAGGACCCTGAGCCTGAAATCTGGAAACTGGAGGCAGTGTTTGAGCTGAATAACCAAGAGGGATTTCGATGTGGTTAATGCATTAGGGCCAGTGCCAAAATCTGTTTGTAGAAATTCCTTTTAGGATATGGCGCAAATGATTTGCAGCAAGCAGGTCATGCCGTTCCAGAGGACAGAAAGCAAAATAATAATTTTATACTGTGGCTGTTCCCAGCAAAGAGGTGGCAAACAGCAGGAAGCAGTAATAGCAGCCAAAACTCCTTGATTTAAACTCCTCCAGGCCCCTGGATGCTGAAGTTCCTCTTCACCCAAAGCCAACGCTGATCCTTGCTCATTTGCTGAACACATGGGCAGGCAGCAAATAGTGATGATGAGAGCAGCATAGCAGAGCTGCAGGCAGTTCCTATAGATACAGACTAAAGCCAGGAGGAAGAGCAGGTGAACAGGAGCTCCCAGAATTTCAGTTGGATTTGTTGTGATGCAGCCCTGGTCGCTAAATGAGGAGGAGCAGAAAGGGCTGAGAGATTTTCTGGAGGGGAATCAGGAGGAGAGGAACTTTATGGCACTGATCCTACTCAAAATTACTACCAGGAGAAAAAGATCTCTTCTTTAGGAAAGAGGCTTTACTGCACTTTGAAGAAATGTGTCAGGAAGGCGTAAGTGAGCTTCACCCACAGTGCTTGGGAAGAAGAGGGATGTTGGCACAGGTTCAGTGGGGATGACAGAACCAAATGAAATAACTTGCAGCAGCACCACGGACAAATGTTATTTTGCAAATTGTAGGAGACTCAGTTTGCTTTTCCAACTGACTCTTAAACCTTGTTGGCGCATAAGGATGGATCCAAACAACAGAGTAAAAATGACCAGTTTTTAAAAAGACCAATGAGGCCTGTGACGATTTACAGTTACGAATTTTTAGCTTGTCAATGCCCCTAGAAACATCTAGGAAACACAAGAAGAGAGTATGTATCGCATGCAGTGTTTTTCTCGGCATGTTGTATCCGACGGCTGTCTGGGGGCAAGGTGGAACCTTTGAATGAAAGGTGAACATTTGTGTATGGTTGTGCTAAAATATTTGGAAGTGGAAACTGGAACTTTGAAAAAATGAAAGAGGCTCCCAAAAAATCTAACTTCTGTGGAAGAAGGAGGGGAAATTCCCACAGAAAACAGGGAAACTGAGACTGCAAAGAACTAGCTGACTCCCCAGATATGCAGAGGGCTGCATAATTTTTAGATCACGCTCGTATTACAGAAAGGGTTGGAGTTGCCAATATTGCAATAGCTTCCATAAAGTTATGTGGGAAAAAGAAACCATTCCATCAGTCAGTAGAGGATGATTTAGCATTTTTTGGAGCTGATGAGAACTTACAATGACACTTGTCTTTACATATCTAAAGGCGGTTTTGCTTTGGACAGACGTGCTAGTGCAAATACCATAGGAACGTTGTGGGCACAAATGCATGAACGACTTGGGGAATGGCTTGTGTTAGCAGAAAGCTAAATGTTCCCCTGAGATGAACTATTGCATCACCTAGGAGGGACTTCTAACCGGGATTAAATATCTAGGATGTTTTCTCGCTGTTTATAAGGAAGGGTTTATATTTAGGATGCAGCATGCATCCCAGCAGCTAAGGCATCCTGAAGGGAATGGTCAGGTGGTTAGAAGAACTGTGGTTGTCTGATCTCGCCATCAGGGATAGGCCTGGGCCAAGCATGGCCAGGCTGATGTCTTGCCCAGATGGTCTTGTTAGTAAATTAATTGCTGGCAGTGTTAAGCAAGGGGGAAAGAAATCCTTTGCTCAGGGGAATGAGTGTACTCAAAAGAGGCATCTGTTTCATCTCCCCCCATAATGGGCAGAAGTGGCAGCATTCCTAAACCAACCACTGAGGTAGCGGACTTAAGACAGGAAAATTGGGCTCCAGAGCAGCCAACAGCCACCTTTGGTCATAGCCTTAGTTCAAAGTGAGCCTGGAAAGTCACTTGGCTCATAAAGTCCTCTCAGCTCAATCCTCCTCAAAATACTGGTCATGAAACTGTTCTAGGAATCTTGTAGTTCAGGCATTAAGTAACGTGAAGGGACTGAGAAAATGAGCAGGTTGTGGGATGATATTCACCAGTTGTACCAGACACTTTCAAAGGGGGTTTGATAGGATAGCAAAGCACTTGGGGATTACAAAAACCTCCCTTAAACTAAGAGCGTGCTTTTTTGGCTAGAAGACAGGAGGATTTAGAAAACTGGTGCAGGAGATATGATCTTCACATTGCAAGCAGGGGTCCTGCCCGTGTGGGATCTTGGCAGCCTGTGTGAGCATGTCTCTGCCTGACGTGATGGCTGTAGATGAAGAAAATTTATTTTCTTTTAACAAAGCTTAGCTGAGATGGAAACAAGAATCTGTGCTAGTGAAAGTTATATTCAGATTTCTTTCTTAGTAGATTTGGGGTCTGCAGACAGATTAAGGGAGAAGTTTTGAATTCAGACAGATTTATCAGACTTTTTGAGAATCCAGAAACCCATACCTCATCTATTTTTGCCTGTGGCTCAGTGTACTTGGTGAGCTTAAAGCCAAAAGTATTAATATGATATTGTCACTGACACCAGTACATAATGAAGAGGGAGTCTGAGCAGTTCAAGTACTGCTACTAAATCCCTTCCCTGTTGTGTGTATGATGTCTGGGCTCCTTCCAAAACTGGGGATTAACTGAACACGTCACTGCTAATAAATGCTGGGGTGATCATCTTTTGTTATACACATGAATTAGTTTCCTGTCCTTCTCCTTTACTTACATGATTTGATATGGAAGGAAAACCCTGCATAAGGATCTCTTCCATTCATTGTGATCAGTTCCAAAGGCAGCCACACATCTCTCCATTTTGGTAGCTTAAAAAACAGCGAGAACTGAGAGCATAAACCTGGCCCAGCTTTTCTCATGTTAGGACCTAGCCTAAGCACTCCATCAGACCTCGTGGATGTGGAGCAATGGGATAGTGATCATGTGAAAAAGGAAAAAAGTCTGTATCTTTGCTAGCAAAAAAATGAAGCCAGCCTCCGACACAATGAAAAGGTGCAGCTGTGCGGGAAAACCCTTATCTGAGGGAAGCTGGTACCGTGCCACAATCCTAGTCCATAAAGCAGTAGAAGCCATGTCTCTGAAGAGGAGTAGAAACAGAAAACCATTGCACAAAGCCAAGGCTGGCTGGAAAAGGTTTATTTGGGCAATGCTCAGGGGAAAAGAGAACTTTTGAGTAGCATGTTATTATGTCTGAAATATTTCTAACAATTCAGATCAATTTGTCCAGCCATGTGCTGCCTATTTATTTGATGTTCCAGTGTGTCAGACTTCAGGCATCTGGAAAATAAATGCCCAAGAAATGTCAACTATCAGACAGAAAGGTTTACTCTGTTGGAACTGCCTTCCAAATAAGCCAAGCAGCATCTGAGTTACCAACAGAAATTATTGCCTGGAGTAGTGAAAAGGGAGAGACCCAGCACTTGCTAGGAGCAAACTCCGAAGCAATCCTTAAGCTATGAGTGACCAACGAGGCAGTAGGATGAACTATGTTAGCTGGCCAGTCCTGGTTTCGGTCTTCAGTCTGCAGGACGTGCTGGAGAAACACCTTCACCCCTGCAAGGTGAACGCTGAGCTACCGCACTGCGTGCATATGGGTGCGGCAGTTTAAGATAAGCCAGTTGGCTTTGCATAGCAAAAAAATGCTGTTAAACATTTTCCAGTTATAGGGACGGTACCCTCCAAGTGGTGAGTGAAATGAATGTGTTGGGGCAGGCCATGCTTGAACAGTTCCAGCAGGTCATGTAGGGAATTCTGTTTGCCTTTTTAATTGCTTGAGACTCATTCACAACCCGCTCTGCCCCATTTCAGGCCTAATAAGTTTTCCATCCGGAGCAGCGCTCCTAGTGACTACTCGAGTTTGAGCGATTCTCAGCTGCTCTTCAGCTCCCAGTTCTGCCCGGAGAACGTGCAGTTGGCAGCGGCACCGCTGGAGCTGGGCACACAGCTGGGACAGCACAACTCCCAGGACGTGAGTCTCACTCGTTTAGCCCTGTGCAGGCACACAGCCACCATTCAAAGTTAATGAAAAATACCGAAATCAGGTGGTAACATTTGCAAATGTTAATAACTGCTGAAATCAAGTTATCTTCTTGATACATATAAATATTTACTGTGACGAGACAAAATAGCAGCCTGGTTGGCTGAAAACTTAGTATTTATAAGAGATTACTAACAACTATTATTGGGATAGGTATTTTCTTTAATAATATTTTTTAATTACTAAATAAGATGAAATTATTCTCAAGCTAATGTCTAAAGCAGAATATTCTGTCTATTCTGTCTTTGAACAATATTGTGTTTCTCTTCATTAGCTTTCTGCAAGAATGACAGAGGTATTCAGTATTTACCTTCATTGACTAAAATTACCTTGCTGCATTGTTGTTATGGCAGATGCCTGAATGGTTTTAGATGAAGAGCTTCTACGCTCAAAATCTTCCTACAGCACATGGTTTCTGATGTTACCAGCCCCACTAAAATAGTTCCTGCACCACTAACAGAGAGCACCAGGTCCAGATAAAGACACCTGAGAGCAAAGATTAGGAAAGAGCAGAGGTGCCAGCTCAGTGGCCCTAGGCTGTCCTTCAGTTCCAGATCCTATCTGCTGTCCTCCGCATTTTGCAGGAGATCTTGTCCATTAACTGCAGTAGCTTTTCATCAGACACAAAAAAAGGAAATTCACTCTTCATGATGAAAGAAGACAATTTAATGGAATTTGCATTTTCTTATGTTTTAAGAAAAAGGCATTTCCATTTTGGTCACACGGTGTCTGGGAAGAAGGTCTTTACAGCTTTCATATTAATATTAAATTTCTTGTTCCGAAATAAATATTGAAGCATGTGAAAAACTCATCTACAGTCTGATGATGCTGCTAATTGGCAACAGAATTATGTCATCCACCAGGAACTTCAGTAGGATTTTCTTTAGATTGGTGTACAGGGAGCTCCCACTGGTGTCTTTACCTTTTCCATAATTCCAAGCACACTGGAATTAATTCATAGTCTCTGTATTGAGCATGTAGGAAAAAAGACCTGCACGCCTGATCATCACAGCCAACTGAAAATCCTCAAGATGGGAGAAAAGCCTGAGTCGGGAGGAATCGGGGCTGGGTCTCAGTTCCACGGGAAGTCAATCTAACTAGGCACACTAAGTGAGCTATAATCTCATGAAATTCTTAATCTCCTCGTCCAATCTAATCTGTCACGTCCAATCACTGTGATCTCTGTCTGCAAAGCACTTGGTACACAAACGTGTTTTGCTAATTAATGTTCTGGTTGTTTTTATACTTCAACATTGATTTTTCTTTCTTTTGTGCAACAGAGTGAGCCCAGTATTTTTACCAAATACCAGACAAAACCACAGTTATTTGATGAAGATACAAAAGAAAAAGGTTCACTTAATTTTGGTGCAGGAAGAGTGAAAAGTGTCTTGGAAAATTTTGAAGTGAATAAGAACAAAATAAAGGACAAATATGATCGGTATGTAGACATCCATTGGAATTTCTTTCTGTGCTGCTGGTTATCACTCCCTGCAGCTCCTTCTTCCCCTCTTAAAAATCATGCATGACAAGGCTGCATATTTCTCCAAGAAATGTATAATTTTGGGTTTTAGGTAATCTCTGATTGGAAAAAGTCCCAGGATAAGAGAATAGGGTTTATTTGCAATGCGATTTATGTAACACACTCAGCCATAAGCCACAAGGAACAACAAAACTCTAACCCAAATTTACCTCTGTCCTTTATCTAATCAGCAGGGGCTTTTTCTGTATTGATTCTCTGCAGAAGTCCATATTTCTCAAAATTTTATAGGCTGTGTTGGGACTGGTCAAAGGGACTCTGAGGACAGCCTTCGCATTTAGGCCAGATGAGGAGATTGCCAATCATACTTGTGTGCGGTGGAAGATGTGATGATTGCACCTTTATAAATCTGCACATATCTCTAGAATTTTACTTGCATACAAGATTTTTATATCTTCTGGGTTTGCTAACAGACAAGTGTAATTTGTTAATGTAATTTGCATTTGCCCTTTGCCAGATATTAAGAATTAAATGTACATGTAGGTCCTAAAGGACTTTAAGGAACAAGCTAACCGTTTCAAGCTCAAAAATGAAAGATGGCAAACTCCCCAGTGCACCTATAAATAATCCTTAGCACTGTACATTTTGTAATGTAACATCCAAAGTGAAACACATTTTTGTTAAAAGGCTGTGTGTATCTTTCTCTTTTGCAATGGGCACTATGCTTCTGATAAGGCAAAATTTCATTCTCTAGTGCCTATTAGAGAAGAGGAGGATTTTTGTAAGTGAATTACAAGAAACGAACAAATAGTCTTAAATGTTTAGGCAAAACTCTTAATTATCCTTTATTTCTTCTTTAAATGAATTATGCTCCTTCCTACACTCCAGACTCACTCCCAGTTTAGAAGCTTGTTTATAGAAATAGCTTTATTATCTTTAAAAAGATAACATATAATTTATCAATTTATATGCCCCACAAGTTTGACTTACAGAATTAATATCTTCCTTTCCATAAAGCTAGAAAGACTTCAGAAGCCCTGCGTAATTCTCATAACTAGGCTCTACCTGGCCTCCACCTTTTTCGTTGTTGCAATTTGGATCACTAAATGATTGATTTGAAATTACTCAAATCTTCAGAGAGGAAATAGGTTATCACTTTGCTTAGCAACCGCCCCTGCATTTTGGTTTGATAGGTTAATCATGAATATAACCTGGTTCCTGATAGGCTCGCTCAACATAAAAGGACGGATAACAGAAACCACAGGCGTAATCTCAGGAGAAAAGGATTTGCAATATTTGTTCTTCCTGGCTTGGTCTTAGTTGATGCTGAAGTTTTTCCCATATTTTTCCCACAGTTATTTTAGTCCAAATACAATACCCATGTATCCCAGCAACTGGCACGTCACCTCCGCCCAGGCTGGGTCCTTCCGGAGCATATAGTACGGTGGTAACACCCAGCAGCTAATGGACAACTGTGTAACTGCCAATGAAAACTTTTCAGAGAGGCACAAATGCTAGGCCAAAAATGGGAGAGTTAAAAAAAGTAATTGTATGTATACGATATATATGTGCATGTGGGGTGTTTTTTTCTTACTCTACGTAGCAGAATCCATGCTTTCCTAAAACATGTAAGGTGACTTCAAAGGATTATGCCTCCTGAAGTAAGCACATCTCTGTGTTTACGTTATGCACTAGCTATGCCTTGCAGTGTTTCATGTCTCATGTTTACTGTGATCTTTTAAATTTCTGTCTATTTCAGTAACTTACATGTCTGTTTTATACTTTTTTTTTTTCCATTTTAGTGAGGTTTTAAGCACCTTTATTTCCAATATCAAAGACAGGCTTCAAGGGGTAAGTTAATTCAAATTCAGAGTACAGAATAACGTTTGCCTTCTCTCATTTACTGTGCTGATATTTGAATTATTACACTGTTTGTCTTGAGCACTCAAATACCTTAAACCAATAGTTGTCAATTTTTTGCACATGCCATTGTCTTTGTGGCCTGTCCTTACGGTCAAGGTCTTCAGGGCCTTGCCTCAGAGTCGGCAGTGGAATTTCTCTGGGTCTGGCTATAATGGCTGTCTGCAAATATCAATTCTTTTTTCCTTCTGCCTGAAGAAAGTAGACTACTCTTAGGAATAAGTCAATGTGGTCTTACTGTCTGAAGGTGAAGGTGTCTCCCACAGCACTTTTATAATTAATTTGATTAATGTTATTATTAATGCTGTTTTTACAGATTAGTACCTCTACTTCAAAATCTGTTAAGATTTCTGCAACATTTAATGGGCCTTTTGAGCCATTGCAGATGTCCTTTGGGATTGCAACCAACAGCTGGACAAATTGTTTCAAGTGACAGATAAATAACCATTTTCAGGCTGTTCCATTCCATGAGTTGCAGTCATCGTTCTGTGGCATTTGGGGCTGTGGTTTTGCAAAGAAAGAAAGGACAATGTATTAATTTTCTCATTTACCTTTGTTTCTGCAGCTGCAAGCATGCTTGGACAAGTTTGGAGAAATGCTTGATTCAAGAAACAAATCCATTTTGGTTCACCTGGAAACCATTTCCAAGACATGTAAGTCCTTTCTGTATTTCTGTTAACAGCAGAGGGCACAGTCAAACTGCTGAATGTCAGCGTGTTGTCTCCCAGCTGGGGTGAACTAGGCAAGTCATGCCACTCACAGCTGCTCTTCCTAATGGAGAAGAGCAAATAAGACTTATCTGTGGTATGCCCTTGTCTATTTTTCCATTCTTACTCTGCTATATTCCCCTTTTCCCTGTTCTCTTGTACTGTGTCAAAGAACTTAGGTGTTGCATGGTTAGGTGCCATGCATGCATAGAGAAATGCACCTCTATGTTTTTGTGTTCTGCCTGGAGTATGATCATTTTTAGACTATTTGCAGCACTAATGGAATGCACAGTAAAAATAACTTTGGTATTTATATCCTGAGTATCCAGTTTCAGCTTTTAGGGCTTTCTCAGATTTTTCACATTAGTTTGAAGTCTTCCCTCTCTCCTCAATGCTTTAAGTGATTATATTTTAGCTATGAGCAAAACTAGTACTGCGCATTTCTTAAGTAAGAAGCACATAATGAGGCACACTATTGCCATGATAAAAAGGTGACCTCCCAAAAAAGCCAATAATGTAAAATACTTTTGAACAGCTCCATCTCTGAAGCAGCTCATCACAGCAGTCTTTACTGAGGGAAAGTGCTTCAGAAAAATTGTTTCTAATTTGGCTTAGATCTGAGCCTTTGAGAGTACATTAATTTTTAATGCTGGCATTATTTTTTATCAACACCCCGTCTGTCAGGACTCTGCTCTGTGCTTGCCCTGCTCTGTGCAAGAACAAGAGGCCAGCTTCAGTACATGTAAGAAATGTGAATTATACCGTGCGAGTTCAAGGTAGCAGACCTTCACCAAAGCGCTGCAACATTTACTGTGTGGTAAAATGAGGCTTCCACAAAGCACAGCTTTGACAGATACGCTTTAAGTCAACACAGCCCCCTCAGGCAAAAAGAGTGGAGTCTAGTCCATTCTGCATGAGGCCGTGGGTAGCCTCTATGTTTGAAATACCAGCCTTGTTATACTAAGAACACTCCCTTGCTGTGCTTGGCAAGTGCTCTTGATGGGACCTAAAAGTGAGCAAGAATCTGCCTGCTTTGGCCAGCACAAGCTTCCTATTACGCATTTGCCCATCTCCTAATTACTTCAGTGCCTCAACTTGTCCACTCTGCAGCAGGACTTTGCCCAATTTCGTATACCTCTTGCACAGAAATTGTTGTCATGGCACTGAAAATCAAATCTATTGTTCACAATTCCCCCTCTTCATTCCATAGCATTTGCTCAGCTGTCCTGTTTCTTCGCCATACCCGTTTTAAATAAATGTGCCTTGAATGAAATGAGAAACCTCCCAGAGGTGCCTGCTGCTAGATTTTCAAAGCAATTGAAAAGAAAAATTGGCACTTTCTGTAATGTATCATGCTGCAGAATGTTGAATATATAATGAAAATCATCGCACGCTCCACAGTGTTGTTCTTTTTATATTTCTGGGAGGTTCATCTGTCACTGGTTAATTGCTGATAAACAATGCCATTTGACTGGTATCACAGTGGTGGATAATTAAGTTCCCACTAAATAAATACCTGCAGTAGTGCCTCAAAAAGATCCCAATTGAGGCAATTTCCCTGCAAAACTGGTGTAAAATTCCTTAACTCAGGTGATAAAGAGCTAAATTCAGAACTGATAAAGCACTGAATGCTGGTGGCTGATGATACAGTACCTTGGGACGTGCATGACATGGTAGAGATGTTAAATCATTGGCAATGGAGGATTTCATGTGTAGGAGAGGAATGCAGAAGATGAAGAGGCTCTCTTCAAAGCGAGAAGTACTACACCGGGACATTCAGACAGCTCTGAAGAGCAAAGAAAGGTGGAACTTGAAATCAAGTCTGTCCTCATTAAAAGCATACAAGGAGTATCACCGGCTTCATTTCTAGCAAGTGCATTTGGCACAGTCTGCATAGCCACTGGGCGAGAACAAAACAGAAAATATTTTTCAAAATACATTTCCAAATGCTGTTGGGCTGGCATGCTCTGTGCAGTAAGATAAAAAAATGTTCTCTTTTGAGTGTTTGTCCATATGTGCTTGCACACAGCGGATAGAGCTGTGTCTGGCACTGGAGATGAGACAACATTTGCCTGAGCAGCTTCCGCAGAGGCACAGCTGCTCTGTTCCTTGCTCACATCTTGGTGTGCTGTGCACAGGGATGTAAAAAGGCAAGCAGACCCTATGTCCTCACTTCTTCCACCTTATACAGAGTTCTTCTAGTTGACTTGCCTGCTCATCATTTGCTCTTTCCTTCTGGTTTCAGCTCCTGTAACTAATTTCTTTTTATATTTTTCTCATTTCCATTTATATACTCACACTTCTATCAAAACTTTCTGGTTTTTTATACAAATCCTGATTTTCACAGCTCAGCCCTCTCTGTACTGCTTTGCTTTGCTGGCATCTGGTAGCTCCAGCTGTGACAACTCATAACAGCCATATCCTCCGCACCACCTTGACTTCATTGCAAATGAGAAGCATATTCCCAGGCAGCATACCACAGGCAACCCTCTGACCCTCCTGCCAGCAAAATAACGTGTGATGTGTCCCTTGCAGAGGTGCAAGCTGATGCAATTCTCTGACAAAATCCGATGCCTGCTGGGCAGTTTTCAAACATGACTTGCTGCAAGAGTCCCCAGGCTCAGTAGTTGCTGGCAAGGTTTCTAGGGGAATTCTCTGTGTTTATAATGGTGTGATGTGAGCTTGTTTAGTGTGAACAGTATGGTTTGGACTGGGACACCCTGGCACTTCTCTGACATGCTGCATTTGTAGAGATTGAAAAGTCAAAAAGTTTAAAACTGATAAAAGAAATGCCTTTCTCATGCAGCTGCTAACTAGCTGTGCAGTGACTGGCAATGAAAGTTGTTCAGATGAGGGACGTAACCGGGCTCCAAAACACCTCAGCATAGGTGGCGAGAGGATGTGTGATTGTTGTGGCGAAGGCTGAAACCCCTCAACATCACAGTTCAGGGCTTCGGGCACTACCTGCCGCAGAGCAGGCTGAGACTGGGGGCAGCTCATCCCACAGTCCCCCAATGCAGATGTCTCCTGCCGCGCTGTGGCAGGGGACCCCAGCTAGGCAGGCACAAACCAGCCAGCTGGCTACGCAGGGTGCGACCGAGCAGTATGCAGCTGTGACAGCCCAAATGTCTCACCTGCTGGCACAGCTCAGTTACTGCCCAGGGAGTACAGGGAGAAAATGCAGCGTTCTGCTGAGCATCGTAGCTGTCTTCCCTGCTTGTGTCTCACCAGGCTTACACCACCTTCTATATCCCCTACTGAACCCTGGCATAGGAGAACCAACCTCCCTCCAAGAGTGTAATTTACAGCCCCTGCGCTGTCAGCGCCAATCTCAGGACGAGTTGCATAGACGATAATAGATAGGCATCAGAAGCAGTTGCTGTTTAATATTCCTAGGCTGGGAGGCTGCCGCTCCCTCCCTTGGCTGCTCAGACTGTAGTTTTCAGCTGTTGGGAGTGCAGCTGCACCCAAGTGCAGGCTGATTTGCGGGGAACCCTCTGCAGCACAGGGTGGCAGACCTACCCCGAGGTCCTACAGCCTTTTATCTCATGCCAGATTTCACATTCCATATGTTATTAATGTAAACCAGTAGCATCCAAAGACAATGGTACAGCAAATCAAAACACAGCAATGTTCCAGGTTGTAAAAAACTGTTTTGTTTAGAGAAAAATGCCTTAAGAAAGGCACAAGTCTGTGCATGAGCCACCCATTAACCGAGTAAAGATTCTCCCTCTATGATCAAGTTATTCAATAACTATCTGCTGCAGGGTTTATTTGAAGAAAACTTTCTCTGACGCAGCCATTCTTGATCATTTTCAAAGACAAGAGACTTGATTAACAGGGTCCTTGATCTGATCTAGCTTGGCCACCTCAATGCCTATTTTTCTAAGTCTAGATTAATGCTCATTTTTATTTTGTTTAATAGCATTCGACAAGTCTGAACACTCCTCTGGTATGGAAGCCAGAGAGGGAAGGAGAGTGCCCCTCCTCTGTACCGAGGGTTTGTTTTTTTTCTGCAGAATACACCTACACATACAAATGAAACACATTCAAAAGACTGGCTGTTGGTTGCTTGCCTGCAGCATGCTGTGCTGAGTCAAACGTATGTGCAGATCACAAGCCCAGTGGATGCAGTGCTATTTTTAGACTGAGGATACCATGTTGTAGAAGAATAGACAGACTAGGGAAATCAGAAAGTTTTAAAAGTAATTCTGAACTGAAATGAAGCGTATGGGGAACAGCAGCAAGCCGAGGTAAGCTTACTGATGCCGGCCTTCCTACATCCTTACTAGGCAGAGATGGAAGGTGACGAAGTGACGTGAAAGGAGTTTCCTCCTTCAGTCACTGCTGCTTTCCTCCTCTTTATAGGTTTGTGGGCCAGGAGGGAGCTGGCAGTCTCCCCAAAACCTGTAATCCGAGACCTTGTTTAGGCCTAACCAGGGAGATGCAAAGCCTAAAAGGCCCGCTCAAACATTCACTCCACTGTTACAAACTCATTGTGGAAGCCACAGCTTTCCCCCGGTGATTTGTGAAAAAGTCTAAATCTGTACAAGCAAAAGACTAAGATCTTAAAAATGGCAGTGAGAGAGCAGGGACAACCAAATTGCCTGCAACAGCAGAGAGCTTATTAGCTTATATGTGCAGATAATCGTCAGAAATCAGCCGTGTTCCTGCGGAGAACAAGGCAAAGCCCTGTGGGGATGGACATCCTGAAAAAATGGAGAAATTCCCCGCCTGAGCCTAGGTCTGGGAGGTGGTTTAACTCGATCTGTGTGGGGAAGACGCATGGACCAGGCAACTGCAGGGTTCCCTCTCCCAAATGACAGCGGCGTGCCCAAGCATCGCTCCTTCGGAGGAAGGCAAATAAAGACAAAAATACAGCCTGGCACAGGGGTTCCCTGCTCTCAGCAGGCACCCCATCCCTCGAGCGGCAGCCTCGCTACTCCTGAGCAGCACCTCCAGCCCCGTGCCACCAGACACCTCTGGTTTGTGTGGCTGAATAAGCCAAGCTCTTTCAATCTCCTTTCATAAGAGATTATCACCTAAGCACTTAATTATCTTGTAGCTTTTCTCTGCACGTGTCCCATTTCAGTCTCTTTTTTTCCTTGCACATAGATGGCTAGGACTGTGCACGGCCTTCCAGCCCTCCCGGGGTGCACAGCAGTTCCTGTCAGCCAGAGCCTGCTTACCACCGCACCTGTAGCCCCTGGCACTGGCATTTGCATCTTTGTGTCACCTGCTAATTACCTAAATGCCCGCTGGCTTTTGCACCCAGGTGACTATGGCAGATTTTAAGCAGATCTTGAGGAGCACTTTCCAGAGCTGCCTCGTCCCCTCATGCCACCCTTCTCAAGAGCTGATGCTTTCCCTTGAATTGAGGCTTATCCACTTAATTTTTTTCAGCTTTTTTCATATTGCATGACAATTTCCACTGAAAAGCTTTGTTTGAATCTACAGAAAGGCCATGGTGTTGCCTTTGTCTAAGAAGTCACCTGTCTTATCCTAGCATATTACATTAGTCAGGCACAATCCGCCTTTTACAAAATCTTGTTCAATTTTATTCCATTTCCCTCCCTGTCTTTGAGTACACTTTCCTTTAAGGTCTATTCTAAAACCTTGCACAACATGAGAACAAACAAATAAGCCCATAATTGCTCAGATCTCTCCTTTTTTCCTTCCCAAATGTACCTTTTTAAAATGCCTGGATTTTACAGAAACAAAACCTGCCCAATCACTTTCTCCCTACCTCTCCCTAATAGTTTTTCACTCTTTGACCAATTCCATCTAGAGTTTGACAGCAGGGCACAGCTCACCGAGATAATTAAGTCCCTGCAAGCTTAATGAAAATCGCTGGGCAGGAGGAGGAGAGATCCCGGGTGCTCTGCGGCTCTGCAGCCTGTGAGCACACCTCTCTGGGGCGAGAGGTGCTGCGCTGAAGAGCTGAGATAAATACTCCGCATGCAGGAATAGCTTCAGACCGGCTCTCAGCTCCACCGACACCAAAGTCAATCAAACACGCTGGATCTGTAGCAAAAGAGGATTAATTAATTGCAGAGCTCTTGTAGCCACTTGTTGGAAAGTAGGCTTTATTCTGATTTTTCTCGGGTGTGCAGTGTTAGTCCGGGACTCCAGAGTTTCAGTTAACCCGTCCCATTGGCTTGGCAATCCTTTGTTTTAGCCAGAGTGCTTTGCATCCTGTTCTGTTCCACACCAGCCACACCACCTGTACACACCTTCCCATGCTGTTCACAGGAAAGATCAGACATGTTTAGCGAACTGCTCTTTCTCTCTGGCCTAATTTACAATTTTAAAGGAAGACTCCCTTAAGATTGCTGAGGATTTTTCATCTCCACATATGCTGCAAACTGTTCCCATGCAGTAGTGTATTAGGCACAGCAGTGGCTCCTATAAGAATAATTGCAGCTGCATGGGGGACTTATTGTCCAATCATATAACAAAAATTCCTATCTTTTATCAGTTTCTCAACAAGACTGACTGAAGCCAAGAGCATCTTGCTGCAATTTAAAACCCTTCCAGGGGGTTATGTGCCCCTACAGGACACTGCCGGGGCCCCCTCTGCCTTCCAGTGTTCCAGCTGCAGCTGCCCAAGTGCTGGGCACAGCTCCCTGGTTCAAACATTTTTCTGGCCCCATCTCTTCCTGTGTCTAGCAGCTGGAAATCCCAATTCTTGCACACTCCTTCATAATTTCCCACTATCCCTTCAGGCAGCTTTCCTTCGGTTACCTGCCTCCTGTGCATTTCTGTCACGTAGTCTCTGGTTGCACTTCTTAGCCATGAACCTCTTGCATCTTCTTCCTGTTATCAGCAATACTCTTCTTCCCATCTCACATTCGAGCTCCTGGTTACCATCAGCTGGTTACAGAAGAGGGTCAGCTACACTGGGGTGGCTCAGACATATCGGGCTCCCCCTCCCCTGGCCATGCCTGTTGCAAAGCTGGCAGAAAACTAAGCCTCAGCCTTCCTTGCACTGAGCCAACCGAGTTTTGCAGCTTCGTGTTGCCCTTCATATCCAGCTGCCATATTAATAGAGCACAGTAAATGAGGTTTGGCCTGTATTCAGAATCTTATAAATTTCAAGTGTTCTGCATTAAACATCTACCCTATTGTTCATCGCTTGGGACTCGGGGAGTTCTCAGCGGGCGAATCACTATGGTTGCACAGCCCAGTGAAGTATTTCATGCCAAGCTGTGGAGGAAGTAGCGATAGTATTGATAGTACTTTATTCACATTTACAAATGAAAGACCAAATGTGTTTTTTATTGATTTTTTCCCTGTTTAGTGCAAGATGCTCTTCAAAGTCACTGTGGCTCAGTGCTGAAAGCTCTGACAGATAAAAGCCAAATGGAGCAGGCGCTGCTGGAGATGGAGAGGAGACTTGCAGCCGTAAGCGCAGAAATTAATCTTTTATTCTGAAACCTCATTCTGAATTTTGCCTGCTTTTTCAAAATATTAGCTGAATATTAAATTGCCATCGAATGGTGGATTATAAAGTAGACTGCTCCTGTTACAACAAAGGGGGAAAGACATATCAAAATGCTACTTCTAGGCCATATAATGACTGATGCTTACCCAAGTGCTGGTTAACAGTGCTGTAAGCTCTGATAAAACCCTGGTCAGTAAGAGGGGAGCCCAACAGTGCCCTGTCATGTCAGGCCAGGATGGAGCACAGCTTCCTCACGCTGGCACATGCTCTTGCTGACAGAGGTGGTGCGATGTGTGCCTGCGAGGGGAGAACACCTCACAGAAGTGCTGTGCCTCGTCCCTTCTGCTGGGTGGTTTCCCAGGGAGAGGAGAAAAGAGGTGAGAAAAGAACAAGTGGGTGTCAGAGACAAAAGAATGAACTGTCAGAGACCTCCTGGACAGGTCTGGTTTCTCCAAAGACCCTGCTGCAAGAATTGCTGTCAGCAAGGATGTGTCACGCCAGAGCTCCTGGGAGAGGGGGCACACAGTGCGTTGGGGGAATGCCCAAATCCCAAACCTCTTGCTTTTGTGGGACAGTTTGAGAAGACATATTACACAGGGAGATACAAATTGCTGATCTTTGGGTCGATACCCAAATGAAGGGGTCTAACTGACACATAGTACCTAAAAGTTTCTTATTTGAATACTATTATTGCACCTTTCAATGTGTTGCTTACTGCTTCTGTTCTGCTCGCTGTCTCCCCAGAAAGATGTGGAGATTTTGGATGTGAAATCCAGTGTCCAGCTGCTGAAGGAGAGTCTGGAGTCACTGCCAGCTCAGCTGAGTGATCAGCGACTGAAGCTATGTGAAGAATTAGGCTTCCTGAGGCTCCCTCACACCTTGGCTGAGCTGCACACGTTCATTTCCAGCACCAGATTTCCCCCTCACATGGCAGATAACTCTTCCCAGACCTCCCCTGGCCCACGCCAGGACCGTGTTCAGGGTGAGGAGAGTGCATGCTTGCTATGCTGCCGAGGCAGGGGGGGTTGCAGCCCCTCGGGTCGGTCTCAGTCCCCTTGCACAGCAGTGGGGGAGCAGCATGGAGACTCCCCTGTGAAGAACCAGGTCACCAAGGATGGCACACCTCAGGGTGACCTAAACATGGCTTCAGAAGGGAAAGTCAGCCCCATTGCTACAGTGGCGTGTGGCAGAGAAAACACCTCTTTGCAGGAGGTGAAATATGGTCTGGAAGCACAGAGCTGTTCTAACCACCCTTGCGTGTGCTGCACTAACAGTCACTTTTTGGGGGGTAGTCAGAAGAAACACAGTCCTGTACTGCAGGAGGTGCCTCTGCCAACTCCACTGAGGAAAGTGGTCAGGAGATGCACCAGAGGATTGGGACCTGTGATGCCGTCACAGCAGAAGCAGCCTCAAGTTTGCCACCTTTCTGTACGAAAAGGTACGCCTGGGCAAAGAGACAATCACCTGTCCACAGACGGTGAGGTGAAGAATCCACCTGTAGGGAACAAAGCAAAACAGAAGCCAGGAAGGATCCCCTGGAATAAAGTGACAGGAAGGAAGAAACCGTGCCCTGCTATGAGAAAAGGCAAGCTCTGTCAATGTGTTGACGGTGGGCTGAAGCAAAAGAAAGAGAATGGGATTACTGAGTTGGAAAACTCCAGAAAAAATTGCTTTCCCAGATACACAGTTGCTCTCAGTTTAGGAAGCTCTAACCCAACTCCTGCAGCTCCCACTCAGCAGATCTTCAGCAGTGCTCAGCCAAGGCTTACAAAGAATTTTGCACCGGTGCCATGCTCCAATGAAAGCCTGCAACAACGTGCAGACAAAAGAAAGAGAAGTTTGGGAATTAAAAAAAGAGCAAAGGCTTCCAGTGTAAAAAGGAATTTCTGGGATTCCTCTCCCCAGGAGAATATATTTTCCATGTGCAGCATGACAGGTGAAAAACAGATGAGCTGCTTCAGCCTCCGAAGCCCTGCAGCCTCCAAGAAACCACGTCCTGTCAATACGCTGGCTCAGCAGAATACGGCCTGTTGCCCTTTGGTTTTTGATAGTGATTATTCCGACTGAAGGGTTTTGTTTCGTGTTCAGAGTCCTCAGCACAGGCTTGACGGTCTCAGTCGCAGTTTATTCCTCTGGATGTGTTACCTGCTCAGTCAGAGAGGATGCTTGAAAGTGTCGGTGCCCACTTTGATAGATTGTAAGGGACTGCCTGGGATCTGAGGAGACGCCCTCCCCCAGCTTGGAAAGCTGATGGAATCTGTGCTGCTCCCAGCAGAGCTGCCACGGGCACCAATGACCATCATATTTATGCAGCAGAGAAGTACCTGAGGAGTCTGCTGGGACATTCACTGGGGAGGAGAGGGCTGGCAGAGCAGAGACGTGCAGCTCAATCAGATTTAGCATCGAGATCTACTTGAGACTTTTCAACTGGGCAGATACAATAATAGCTCTGTGGCCAGAGGCTTTAATCTGTTTCTCACTTGTAGTTGCTATATTGGTTCATATGCCTGAAAGTTCAGCTGTTTAGCTCCGTAGGTGATAGTAGCGTTGTTCTGGTTGATTTTGATAAAGTTCAGATTTGTCCCGGGAGTTGTTCGTGAGCTTTGGACAGGGACAAGTTTAGCTGAGGAAAACCAAATCCCAACACCCCAGGTTCACCGTCTATGGCATTATTTCTCCTTTTAGGCTGAAATTTCCTGGTTTCAGAAAATTCAGGAAATTATTTAGTTTCTACTTTATGTGTCTCTTGTATCTCTTGGCTAATCAAGTAATTCTCCAACATACACTTTTCAAGGGCAGCGGTTCTCAAATGGAAGCCAAAAGATGTGACCTTCAGATTCAGCACCGATGGACAGTGCTTGTCCTTTAGAAACCACCTCTCTAGCGAGGAGTCGCTCTAAAATTTTCAAGTCAGAAAGGACCAGCCTGCTCTCCTAACCTGGTGTACACAGCAGTGAGATCGGTGGGGCAGCCCCAGACCCCGCAGAGCAACTCATTCCAGGGTACCCAGCTGCAGCTATCAGCTTCCACTGCCTCAGGGATTTGTATCGCATTTGATTTTTGGTCTGGGATACAAAAGAAGCATTTTGGTGTTGTCGAAGCAGGTCAATTGCCACGAATCCAACCGGTGTCCTCCCGAGGGGGAAGACTGGGATCCCTTTTTCCTGGCTTTAATAAACTCATTGTGTCTTCACAGAAGTCCAGTGTCTTTGTGTTGGTTTTTTGGGAGAGGCACGATCCTCTTTCAGCAGGTGAGCAGGAGGCTGTTTAACGCCCCTGGATTGTGAACTGGGAAGATTATTTTTTTCAGCTCCTCTCTGATGTTTAAAGAAGGAAACCTCTGCCCTTCCAGTGTAACATTGGCTCGGTGACATTAATTAGCAAGGGGGAGGTGGCAGGGGCGGGTGTGGGGAGCCCCCAGAGCCCTGGGGACCCCCCCCCAGCTCATCGGAGGGACTGGGTGACAGCTGCCAGCAGCAGTGCCCATTCATTCCACATCGCCCTCCCGTACCCGCCCCCCCAGCACGGCCTTTGCTGGGCAAAACCTGCTCCCTGGGGCTCGCCTCCCCCTGCGTTTCGGAGTCTGCGGGGACAGGCGCTGGCCCCTGCGCAGCCCCCAGCCTGGATGCTCACCCCGGCGCTGCAGAGAGCTCGGCAGCGCATGGCTGAGCTTGGAGGGACCTCTGGAGGTGCCTGCCGCAAGCCCCTGTGCCGAGCCAGAGCAGGCCCCGGCACCCTGACACCCCGGTGACGGAGCGCCCGTGCTGTGGGGGACACAGGGCTGCCTGGGGACACTCAAAGCCACCCCACAGCAGGCACGCGGCGGGGTCATGAAAAAAATCCCCAGAGAAAGGAGTTATAACAGCAACGGCAGCCAGCCATTGCCAACTCTGCTCGCAGCCTCGATGGACAAAACTGGAAGCGTGTGTGTGTTCGTGTGTGCGTCACCGGCTCTGCCCCGGGCCTGGGGCCGGCATCCCCAGCTGGGAGCCACCGCACTCCCGCGGGATGTAGCAGCCTCCCCAGGGCGCCGCGCTTGCACGCCGGGGGAGCAGGTCCTGTCTCCCAGCCCATACTTGAGCACGCATGGCTGCCGAGCTTGCTGCCTCTGGCTCCCCACTGCAGCCGGCCATGCCACGAGGTGCACAGGGTCCTGCACCTGCGGCTTCTCCCGGCCTTCAGCACCATGGGGCTGCTGGCACCTGAGTTTGTGGGGTCTCGTCCCACCCTTCACCAAAGGTCCGCAGGGAAGATGCCAGGGGTGATTCCCCTGGCCACACAGCCGAGGGGGACTGCGGAGGGCACGGGGCAGCACCGCAAAACACACAGTGGTCATGAAAACACAAAGCTGGACTCCAGGCTGTTTGTGGGCACTTATTTGGGGCAGTTTTCTCCTAAACTGGGGGTTTGTCCTGCTTCCTTGGGGGAGAGCCCAGGAGAAGAGGGAGGACAGCATCCAAAAGCTGGTGAAACCCAGGCAGGGATGGGCATAGGGGTGCAAGAGCACAGGTCGTATTCTCTACCCGGCGTCCCCAGCTGCGCAGGCAGGCAGGCAGGCAGCCGCTGTGGTGGCAGGGAGCAGGGCAGCTCCTCTCTTCTCCTGCCAGTGAGTCACTTGGCAGAGGAGGAAACTGCTGACGGCACCAGGGATGTGGGGGTGGCTGCGGCACCCCTGCCTCGTGCTCAAGGCACCCCGACGACTGCAGTGTCTGGGGCACAGCTGGCTCCCTCCCCATGGCCCCACTGCACACTGGGCTCCACGGCCTCCCCACCCACAGGGTGACACCAGCCGGCCGCCTGCCGCTGCCTGGCTCTCCCCCCATGCGGCCTCCCCGGCGCTAATCCCCGGATTAGCTGCCTGCCCTGCCTGCTTTGTGGGGGCCAGCATTGCCCAAATTCCCTGGCCCCTGTGCTCAGCTGGCTGCCTCAACCCCCCCAGCCCCACTGCCTGTGCATGGAGGGGTGGACCAGGGCCCAGAAATGCCCCACGTGCCCGTGGTGAGCCCAGCCCAGGCATGATGCCCTAGGAACGGAGAGGTGGCTGGGAGCAGGTGGGGGGCACCCCATGCTGCTGCCAGCATGGCCATGGGGACCTGAGGTGCCACCTGTCCCCACTGGCCTAGGCAAGAGGAGAGCAATGGCAGTGACAGAGGTTTGCCAAGGCCGTGGTGGCTCACCTACAGCCTGAGGGAGCTGGGGTGCAGGCAGGGGGCCGGGGGGCATCACCATGTGGGGCAGAGCCCTGAGCTGATGTGACTTTGTGGGGCTGCGGCCCTGCCGGTGCCAGCGCAAGCCCTGGCAGAGCGGGCAGCTCTCCAGCCGCACAATTAGCTGATTAGCTCATTACCTACACCTTGGCAGGGCCCCCGAGCCCAGCGGCTGCCAGGGTGCTGCGTGCCCCGTGCGGGGTGGGC